CGGCAAGTGGAAATAAGTCTGAAATATGACAGTGATTAATTCGAAGGACGAAAGTCCATAAATATCACGTACTTATATATTTTACATATGTATATGTTGTACTTATATCTAATTTTAAAAGATTTATATAGTCGAAAGAAAAAATATGAGAGATATGATTAATAAGTATCTGAAACGACACTTGCTAAAAAATAAACGGTCTCAATGATGACAACGCATCAGCTTCAACTGTTGTAACGATCAAAATGTACGAGTTGGGCTTCAAATTACTATCTTATCCATTTTATTTGCCAAATATAACTTCGTGCAATGTTCATTTATTTCTTGAATCGGAAAAAATGGCTCAATAGAAAAAAAAAATTTTTCAAGCAATAAAGTGATGGACGCCGTAAATGACTATACTTCGACGAGCTGTCGTACAAACGCTACGTGCGATGAATGAGCCAGCGTTTGATATTTGTTCTTCTGAAGAATGAAACTTGTCAACGACAGTATGAGTCACACCTACTAATGTCGCTATCTAATGCTATCGTTTCGAATATTTATCAATTACCCCACGTACATTGTATGAAGATTACACCAAATTTAAGATAAAAATTTGCAAAAATTAACAGTAATTTTTTAAGCAATGAAAACTCTAAAGAAGTATGTTCCAATCATTTTTCTGTTATATTTAACTTAGTATTTAACTCTTTATAGTTCCTACTCTTAATATTTAAAATAGTTAAATATAACTTTTCAATTATATTTAACTATTTGTCTAACGTTTTGTGCATACATTGCGTGGATTTTATACGCGTTAGATTGTCTCAAGGTAAGCATATTACGCTCCTTGGCGTAGTACAATTTATAGCCATCAGTTCCACTGAGGATCTGCGCATTGTGTATCATTTACTCTTTCTGGATTTAAGGCCAAAATATGTAAAACCTTGAATCTTATTTGATTAGAGCAAATCTTTTCATACACTGTTTTAATCCTCGAGAAAAAATGGAAAACGGTGTGATCATGTGGAGATTACAGTCAAACCTCTATAACTCGAAAACCTCTATAAGACAAAAATTTTATTCACTTCTTTCTGCTCCGCGGGAAAGAAAAAAACGCTTTGTTAAGTCGAAAACCTCTACAACTCAAAGATTTTAGCTCTTCCCTTCGAGATTCGAGTTATCGAGGTTCGACTGTATATACGGGTCTCAGATATGGTTTTATATGATCATATAAAATTTTATATAAGTCAGATGTGATTTTATGTGATCGTGTAAAATCAAATCCGAAATTTGGCGTGATCTGATCACTTATATATAATCATATGTTTTTATTTTTTCTCGGATCATTATGTATTAGAAACGATCATTCAATATATTGTTATAAAATTCTTAAAAGTTGAATAATTCTTATGAAAGTACTTGAACAAAATCGAGTTGGTAGTACTGAGTAGTCGCGAAATGAATAACAAAATTTTCGTGTTAAATTAAATCTCGTGGTTAATAATTATATCATGTGCAAAGTAGTGCGTAATATCACATAATATGTATATATGCACGTTTTATTGGTACATTAATTATATATTATAGCGTCAATAAACATACGTACAGAAAAAAGTAAAAATAAAAAATTGTTATTGTAATCGTTATTGCAAAAACATCAGTTATTATATAAAAATAACTTTGCACACATATCTTTTTATATTTATATATATTTTTCTTTTTATTAACGCGGACATGGCGACATTTTGTTTAGACTCTTTAGTAATAATCGAATAAACATACACGATTCTTTTATAATACGTAAAACGCTCTTTGACATACGCGCGTGATTACATGCGTGTTATTGTACCGTTAAGTAATTCACTCATAAATCACGTAGGAGCATGTCGATGTGTATCGCGGAAGCATAATAGAAGAGATTTATTCGCAAGCTGGCACGCTCGAAGGACACCCGATTAAAAACATCGCTCTATATCATAATGGGTCAAAGAATATCGCATTGTTGCGTATACACAATGTCTCACACAAATGACTTTTTAAGAATCTCTTAGAACGTCATTCATTTACATATAAGTACACATAAGTACAGGTTACAAACTAGATTAGTTTTTAATTTTTCATTTTTTTTAATGGAGTTGCGTAAGAGCTCGAATTGATATACATTGACGTGATTCATTTGTGTGTGTATTTAAGATTCTCTAAAAATTACAAACACACATTTAGCGACTCTTGTTAGCGACAAGTAAAAGAAACATGCAAGAAGTTTTCCCGACAGAAAAGATTGCGTTTGATAAAACCCATGTAAATTAAAATGAAAAGACGAAAGTGTCGAAGGGAGAGTGAATCGCAATTAAGTTGTATCTGCATATGTTCCCGCATAAATGCAATATGTATCCAATGTGTTGTCATAGTGGACCAGGTCGTAGAAGATAGTTTTGCGCTTGCCTATTGCAAGATCGTTGGCAACACGTAATAAGATGTTGCAATAATTTTCAGACGGTAATCGAGACTGCAAATGTGCATGATCAAATAGAAAGCGCATATAGTTGTGGCATATCTCTATATTGTTTTACACTTAGCACAGATTACGTGCAATAGTTCCGGCTTTCAGCCACGTTTTAGAACAGAATTCTGTCATATTGACGCAACGAAATTTCTTTGCTCTTCCGTATCAATAACGTTATATAACTTTAAATGTAAATAATGTAATGTTTATAATTAAATGTACACATTTAATTATTTCATTATTATTTGTACACGTTTACAACTACGTAGAATCAAAATTTAATATTTCTTTAAAATATCAAAAACAAAATAAATTCATAAACCAGAAGTTGATAAATATTGATAACTTTTATTAGCTGCTAATTAGATTTGCGCATTACGTTGCCATAGTATATAAGTAGAACTAAAAAGAATAAATGTTTTAATTTAAAAAAATAGCTCGTTTTAAGAGAGTGATTTTTGTATTATTTTGTAGCGATAACTTCTCTTCAATGTTTCATCTCTTCTTCGAGATGTTCACTTAAATGTAATTTAAAGAAGAAAGTTTTTGTTATGCATTTTAATCTACGCGGTTGCCTCACACGTTTCTTACCATTTACAAGGAAAATCAATTTGACAATCCCAGATTTTATTGCCGGACAGTTGATTTTATCTATGCGGTTTGCGGCGAAGTGTTGTTTATTAACGTTGCGAACTAGTCCGACTGCGTTCCCCGTTTCTTTCGCGCTTCCTCTCATCGGCATCCGATGTCAAACGAGCGAGTTTCGTACGATCGCATTTTTGACACGACATTTTTAATTTAGTTAGTCAGATCAGTTAAATAAACGTTAACAAATCCACAAATGGTACTACTGCGTGAGAGAGCAACCGTTTGCATGGCATTCGATGATCGTTTTAAGAGTATCCTAATTCTTTCGTTTCTATATCGCCGATTTCGTTAGCTAGCAGTAATAACATTCGCTTGAGCGAAATTATTTCTGCGTATTTGTCGCATCGAAAAAAATTTGAAGCTAAACCGTTAAAATATTTTATATATTACACACAAGTCAATTGAACAAAATTATAATTGTGTGATATTGGTTTTTAAATTTAAATTTATAATCTTTTATTCATATTTAATATTAAACATTTTTCATTACATAACATGGACTGTAAAATAATTTATATATTATTACCGGAGTAGTAGATTTTATTGTTCTTTTTTTTATCCGGATAGTTGATTTTATCTTTCTTACATAAACTTTTTTTTGTTGTGTTTTAGAATCAAAACAAAAGTATTTGTAAAAATACATGAAATGAACTCATTGAATTGGTTTACTACGCGTAGAATGCTGAATACATTATAGACATCCAACAGATTCGATAAGAGAAAGAGAGAAGAATATTCCTGGAAATATCTATGTAGAATCGAGTTTGTCTTCGTAAGAGCAAACCGGTTCTTTGAAGCTTTTTTTTTAGTTATAAAATTTTCCAATGTCATTAATTCGCAATAAGAACTTTTATCGCTTCTCTATATACATATAACAACTCATTTGTATGTCATTAGATTTATTTCCGTAATTGTTTTTATCTAACTGTAATATCAAGTAAAAAACAAAGTCATACAATGTCCATATTAAATAAGAAGCTTGTGCGAGTGCCGTATTTCTTACTTTCCATTTTAAAATAGTTTTTTGTAAAATGTTTCTCTTGCACATTTTTAACTGCATGCATATGAAAAGTGTAAAAACAGGAAATTTATAATATTATCTGAATAATTTGAACTCGATTTTTATAGCGACTGAATTCATCTAAATGTATTTTAAATGACTTTCAACTAATTTTTAAATTTGATTTTACACACATAATTGACTTATAAAGAATACTTAGTCTTCTACAATTAATTCATTTTCAATCAAGAAAAATTGGTTTTACGAAACTCTAAAAGACACGACGTTACGTATCGTTTAAATGCTTGCGTACATAAGTGAGTGTGCGCGCACACGCGCAAACTCATAAAAGTGATAATTAGATAAGAAAAAGCTATTGTCTAAATAAATGCCTGTGTAGTTTAGGTACAGAGTTGTGCATTGTTGCACGGAATGAGAAAGCAACATCGTCGGAAGATTAAATCGCGCCTGTGCAATCTGACAGGTAACTGTCCGGGTCCATTCACGACTTGTGTTCCGTTAAAGCAGATCGTATTGAGCGAAACTTCCGCAGACGCCGACGATGATACATTCTTTGCGCGTGGGCA